GAGCAAAACCAGACATGTATCCTGCTCTTGTGATACACATTAATCAAGTAGTCCCACTAAAGGATGTATAATTATGATGCAGGTACTTTGAAGGAAAGAGCATTTAATGAGGGAATCTTAGTGTGGGGAGCCACAGAGGAGGCTTCTCTTTGATGAAGTGATATTTGAACTGAGATAAGAATAAGGAGTGAACAGTCACTGAATTCCTTTTATGTACCGGGCCTTGTTACAATTATTTTTACCTGATTTGCATGGGCTAACTTTTCATCCTCATAATGATCCCATGAAGGAGGAATGATTATCATCCCCATGAAGAACTGAGGCATAAAGAGATTTAGACCTCTGCCCAAGGGCGTAACCACAGGTCGGTGACAGAGATGGGTTTTGGGCTAGGAAACGGCTTAGAATCTACTTCTTCTTCCATCTAGGGGTGGGTAGAAGTTAGAGGAAGAGTGATGGGGAATGAAAGGACTTTCCAGGGCACGAGGGCCAGGCACCGAGGTGAGGTTTGGGGGCATGGATGATTCCATAGAGTGGCTGCAGGGCAGAGAGTGAGGAGGAGATGGAAGGCGAAGAAACAAGAGGTGCAGGTAGATGCCAAACTGTGCAGGGCTTATAGACCGTATTAAGGGTTTTACATTGTTCTCATTTGAGCAGTGGAGGGTTTTAAACAGGGAGAGGGAGTTGGGAACATGGTCAGATTTCATTAGGAAAAAAAATTCCTCTGGAGGCAATGTGACAGTGGAGGAAAGGGAGGCTGGAGGGGTGAGGGATTTTCCTTTGGAAGCTGCTGTGAGAGCTGGTGTCCTACAGCAGGGCAGTGCCACTGGAGAACCACGAGTGTCTGTAAATGTCTTGGAAAGAGATTCAGGGGGTAAAATTGCAAATCTTGGATATGGGAGGTAGGGATGAGGGCCCTTTAGTTGTCAGATGTCTTCTCCCCTCAGATGACTGGATTAGTTGCGGTATTGATGGTGGTTATGGTCTTCCAGAGCCCTCAGTCCTTGTTGACTATGATGGGATCGTGACTCCAGGTCCTACAAGGATTCCTGTATCCTCAGGCCAGTGCCAAGGACACAGGACTGTAGCATGTGCTGTGGAGCCCACGTCAGGGCCTGAGCCAGACACAACATTTCTTCCTCTTTACTGATCTGATCCACATGGCCACTGTTAGATCCATGGCTTGGCTCCTACTTCTGCTTGTGTACCGTACTGCAGTTACACTTACTTTGATCTCCTCTCGGGTTGTTCCTCCAGATGAGTAAGGCATGTCCGCTTATTTGCATGAGCTTAATTACCCTGTAAGTGTCTGTTTCTGTGTGGGTATTCTGTCTCTGATTCCGAGTGACTCCACAGCTCTGGGCATGGTCTGAGGCTCTGACAACATCCTACTTTGGGGGACAGATGGAAACACTGTATTTATTGATCCTGCTCGGAGAAATCTCCCTGGCCACTAAACGCTCACCTTTCATTTGATCTCCAAAATGGAGCTTTTGGTGAAATGCGTTGGTAGCTTATTTTTGGGTAATTTATCCTGTCACTGAGTAACCCTCGGGAGCCTTGGAGCTAGTTGGATTGAGTGTAGAATGCAGATATATTTCTTGTCAGGGTTCCAGGATGGCATTGATGAAGGTATGCTGGGATTTTATGGGGTAGGAGCAGAGAAAGTTAGGGTCAGGGATAGGATCATTGGCTTTACTGAGGTGACCAGAACTTGTGGCAAATTTAGAGAAGTCTTATGTATTGCAGGAGACACAACAACAGATATATAAACGGTGAGTAACCAGCCAGGTAGGCAGCAGCCTCTTGATTTATTTTTAAATTTTTTATTTTTCCCTTTTATTTTTAGTTGGCATATCATAATTGTACATACTTATGGGATATAGAGTGCTATTTATATATGTGTATACAATGTATAGCAATCAAATCAGGGTAATTAGCATGTCCTTACCTCAAACATTTATCATTTCTCTGTGTTGGGAACATTCAAAATCTTCTCTTGTAGCTTTTTTTTTTTTTCTTCATTTGTTGGTGTTGGGTAGTAAGACTCTAAAATATATCTGATGGTACAGGAGGAAAGGGCCCCCACCCTGCAGTTTAGGGGATACCAGGATGCAAGCTTAGTGTCAAGACTCAAGCTAAGGGGTCTGGGTTTCGAGACTGGGACAATGCTTAAGTTCCAGTATTCCACTTTATATGTGAATATATAAATATTCCAAACCACCTATAAATTAGTGGTATAAAAAATTTTCAATGCTCACAGGTTCTGAGGGTCAGGAATTTAGACAAAGAATGTGGGAATGGCTTGTTTCTCCTCCACAATGTTCGGCACCTCTGCTGGGGAGACCTGAAGGCTGGCGGCTGACTCGTCTGGAAGCACATTCATTCTGGCATCTGCTGTTTGATGCTGGCTCTTGGCTGGGGCCCGAGCTATATTGTCGATTGGCACACCTGCATGTGGCCTTTCCATGAGGGCTTGCTTGGGCTTCCTCACAGCATGGCTCCTGAGTTCCAAGAATGGGCATCACAGAAGAGCAAAGTGGAAATGAATGGCAGTTTTATAATATAGCCACAGAAGTCACATAGGGTCACTTCCCTGTGGCCATGACAGTCTCAGAGGTCCACCAGGTTCAAGGGGAGGGGGCATAGACCCTACCAGTTGATGGGAAGAGGAGCAAGGTCACATTGTTAGAAGACAGGAGATCTTAATGTGTGCATCCGTGCAAAATACCCACACCCAACCGTAGGATGGTAGAGAAGATTGTGTCGAGGTCGGTTATCCCCTACTGAGGAATCTTTGATTAGAGCTCATCAAAGGTTCAGAGGGACCTTTCGTGCTCTGGGCTAAGCTTTAATATCCCAATGGAACATCCTGAACAGTAACCTATGGCTGTGGTGACAGTGCATCTGAAAGGACATTTGCTTTAACTAAAAAAATGCTACCAGTCTTCTGGAGGTGTGTCTACAAATGGCACGTGACAATCTGATTGAGTCTCTTGAATGATTGCAGACTTCTCCCCCAGTGCACTGTTCTCAGAGCCCCCCAGAGCTTGTTTTGTAACTTCATCCGGCTACACATTTATCTGTGCATTTATCTTTCCAGCCACCTAGCGCTTATTAAATGCCTGCAGTGTAGCAGACATTGCACGGGGCATCATGAGCAGGAGGAGAGGTAGAAAAAGCCATAGACTGCAGCAGATCATGGGCCATACCCTCAAGGAACGCAGTCTCTGAAGGGATATTCTTGTATAAGTAAGCAGGGCTGCTGAGGACCTTAGAACAGCTCTTGTCTGCAGCCGAATACGATGAGCGAAGTCACAACCTGGACCTGGAGTGCATTTGACTTTGGACATCTGTGTGACTCTCCTCCTTCCTCTAGTCCCTTCTGTTGGGTACTAGCAGGAAGTCCACATTTGCTATCAAGGAAGCGGATTCCCCTTTGGGCTGGGCTTTACTAAGCTTGCAACACCCAGGGGATATAAAATTCAGAGCCAGTCATGCATCTTACATAAATCAGATGAAAGGAAGCAGATATGTTATGTCTGATGGCACTGGGACACAATCGTTTTTGTTGACTGTGTTGTCTTTAAGCCATGCATTTCCCATTCATCCCAGAGCTGTACATTGTAGCTCAGGGCTGTGTTATCCATAGGCACCTTTTGGGGGCCATTGTGGTTTGGTTTTCCTTTCCAAGCACCTTGCAGAGACCTGCGGAGTCCTCCTTCCTTCTGCCTGCAGCCACCCACCTTCTCCCACGCGGTGGAACGAGATGCCTCTGCCCCATCCTGCTGCTGGGGTTGGGCTCATCTTTGCCTCATTCTTATCTGAGAGGGTTTAGTTTCTTGCTGTGGTGGTGAGGAAACAGGGAGATGTGAGGTCCAGCCGATACGGAGGGCAGCCAGGGACCAGCAATGTGGTGGCACTGACGAATAGACCAGGAGAGACTTGTAAGGGTACACAGAGGACACCAGGCAGTGATCATGGGCGCTGGGGATCTCATGCATCGTCTGCAGCTGATCAAATGTCTACGTTTCAGGGACTCTTTGGATATTAGTTTAAAACATACACAATTTTAATTGCACTCAGTTAAGTCACAGTGAGCAGTGGTTTGGATGGAGAGAGAGAGAGACGTATATATTATATATTTTATATATTATATATTTTATATATTATATATTTTATATATATTATATATTATATATATGTAATATATATATATAAACGTGAAGGAACAAATTTTAGAACTAGCTCTTCCTCATACCGCCCAGCCTCATCCCCCAATACATGACTTGGATGGTGGAAGTGGGTCAGGTGAGGTGTCCTTCTGCCCTGTCGGTTGGTTAATGGATAATTCAGGGTCCTGTTGACGTATCTACTCTGCAGTGCCATACTGAGTGTGGTCAGCCAGGGCATTATGCTCTTGCTGGTGACATCAGACAAGGGCCCAGGATTGGGAGTACAGGTGGCAGGAGTGTCCCTTGAAACACTAAGCTTCAGATTTACTGAGTATTTCTTAAGCCTTTCTTAGGACCAGGTGTGTTGCCTTTTCAAACATTTAATCCTTAGAACAACCAGTGGAGACAGAACGTCATCCCTACATTTCTGAAGAGGAAAGGGAGGCTCAGAGAGGTAGAGGAATTTGCTGTGGGTCACACAGCATGTAGCTCAAATTAAAAACCAGGGCCGTCAGGATCAAAACCTTGAGCTCTCTCCCACTTTGCATCCTGCGTGTTCAGAGGAGGAGAGAGCTTTTGCCTATGGGAAATGTCAGCTCTTATTAACTTCAAGTGTTAATAAAAACAGGACTCTCTGCTAAGCACTCAAAGCAGTCCCACCTTTGCCCCCTCCCAGGTGTGCATGCAGCCCTCCACGAGCTGTCAACGTCTGGTTCCCTGCCTGGGAGACTGGGCTGACTTGGAGTTTCTGACACAAATGGTTCCAGATACGTACTTTATATTGTTCACAGAATCTATTGGGCGGTTCATTTTGTTAACGTGAAAATGCCCCACTTCTTGTTGGCCATCTGCTTTGTCCAGAAAGTTGTCTTCCTGGTAACAGCCCTGCTTGAAACAAATCCTCCCACCTGATTTTCACCCAATAACAGCCTGAGTGCAAGCACTGTCCAATTTGCCAGTCGCGTAGCACAACCTTTACTTTCCATTGGTAGGTTTTACCCTGCATGTTTGTGAGTTGCAAAGGGACTATTGTTTCCATATTTACAGCAAGCAGCAGGGCTGCAAATTAGTTTTAGTGACAAACTGAAGATTACCAGCTGTAGTTCAGGATTCAGATTTGTACTGTTACAAAAATATGTATTCATGAAACTAAAATTTCAAATTACTTCCTTCACATCTTGAAATAAATACTGTGCTGGGTATATGATATGCAGTGAAGAACTATTTCTGATTTTTAACAAAACTGAAAATTAGCATATTCAAAACACTTCTTGGTGACTTAGCTTTAAAAAAAATTTAAACGCAGTTCTCTCTCACTCTCTCTCTGTCTCTGTGTGTGTGTGTGTGTGTGTGTGTGTGCGCGTGTGTTAGCAGTATTATAACGTTAAGGAATTTTTTCAAGATGTGCGATAGATCACCTTCAATCCTATCCTGACCATACAACTAAAATCATTATTGTCCTCTCTGTCCTTGTTTTCATACAATTAACCTGTTTACACACATTTTTATTTTCTGTTCACTGAACAATGTACTATAGTCATTTACTACTTGGTTATATAGTCTTTTCAATTAAAACGTTTGTTGGCTTTGCACACATGCACACAAACACACGCACATCCACATCAGTGTCACAATGAACATATTAGTGCACACATCTTCTTTCTGTTTTCTCATTGAATTATGTCCTTAGAGTAAATTCTCTTGAATTACTTGGTTCAAAGATATGGACATAACTTGGCAAATATTGTTATGTGACTGCTGGAAGGGTTGTACCAATTTATAGTGTATTTCCTCTAAAAATTAAATAAGCCATAGAAGAACATTTGGAAGTAAGTTCTGTTATAATGTGACTTGAACATTCTTAAAAATCAGCCTGCCAGGCCAGGCACGGTGGCTCATGCCTGTAATTCCAGCACTGTGGGAGGCTGAGGCTGGTGGATCATGAGGTCAGGAGTTCGAGACCAGCCTGGCCAACACGGTGAAACCGCCATCTCTACTAAAAATACAAAATTAGCCAGGCATGGTGGTGCATGCCTGTAATCCCAGCTACTCGGAGTCTGAGGCAGGAGAATCACTTGAAACAGGAAGGCGGAGGTTGCAGTGAGCCGAGATAGCGCCACTGCACTCCAGGCTGGGCAAAAGAGTGAAACTCCGTGTTAAAAAACATAAAAAATCAGCCTGGTGTCCATTATCATGTAATTAAAAAATAGGGGTTATGGAAAAAGTAAGATTGGGGTACCAAATCAAAAATGTTGTCAGTGGCTTAGTGAAAAAAGAGATGGTAGTACAGTTTTGCACGTGCAAGATGGTTAAGAAATCCATAATTACTACAATAAATGTGGCATTTTACCTTAAAAAGGACTGAAAAAACCCCTGAAAGTTGGCCTGTGGAAGTAGGGGTGAGAAGGGCTAGTAATTATTGTGAGTTATGAAGTAGGGTTTTCTGAAAGTTGTGCACAGGTGTGGGCCAGAACACACATGGTGAACTGAGGGAGCTCATGGGTATTTGAGGAAGTATGTATCTGTGTGTATGTGTGTCTTGTTTATTCCTGCACGGCTCAGTTTAGCTAGGTGCAGCTTTAGCTTTTTGCCTTCATCTAGTGCTTCTTGTGGATGAAATTGTGCACAAGCAAATGCAAACTTTGCATTATGCTCAAATTATTCCCTAACATATAAATTGTGTTGGAACAAATTTGTATTTTCTTTTTTTTTTTTGAAATGGAGTCTCCCTATGTTGCCTAGGCTGGAGTGTAATGGCGCGACCGTGGCTCACCGCAACCTCCACTTCCCGGGTTCAAACGATTCTCCTGCCTTAGTCTCCTGAGTAGCTGGGACTGCAGGTGCGCGCCACCACTCCCAGCTAATTTTTGTATGTTTAGTGGAGATGGGGTTTTGCCATGTTGGCCAGGGTGGTCTTGATCTCTTGACTTTGTAATCCGCCCACCTTGGCCTCCCAAAGTGTTGAGATTATATTTGTGAGCCACCAGGCCTGGCCAAATTTGTATTTTCAAAACAGGAGAAGGCAGTCCTGCCTGTGCTTTTCTATTTGTATTTCTTGTCTGACTGGCGCCTTACGCTTCTGTTCAATTTGCAAACAGGAGCTCTGTTGCCAGAAGAACATTTTTATTTTCGGAATGTAGATAGGTAATTGCCTCATGTTGCTTTATAATAAGCAGTTTTTTATATCTTTAAATATTTTCTATGAGGATTGCAGCAACTTTGTAATAAAGATTTCATCATTACCAGATTCCTGTCTGCTCTATATCCATGCTTTGGAACTGAGAACAACTTGAACTGCAGAATAAGCTTCTAGTACTTTCTACGTATAAGTAAAAAACAAAACAAAACAAAACAAAACCCTGTGTCTTTTTTTTATTTGTTCATTTTTAAAAGGAAGTTTGACTACCAGCTGATATTTATTGATTGCCTCTTGGGTACAGTGATGCGCTTTGCAGCCGGGTAGGGCAGGTTGAGTTTTCTCCTTGATAGAAATCCTTTCTGAGCCTCATCTTCAAAATGGAATGGGGTTGGCTTCCTAATAGGGAGGGCTGTGGCTGTCCCAAGATGTATTAGTTCATTCTCATACTGCTAATAAAGACATACTGGAGACTGGGTAATTTATAAAATAAAGAGGTTTAATGGTCTTACAGTTCCACATGGCTGGGGAGGCCTCACAAGCATGGCAGAAGGCAAGGAGGAGCAAAGTCACATCTTGCATGGGGGTAGGCAGGAGAGCTTGTGCAGGGGAACTCCCATTTATAAAACCGTCAGCTCTCGTGAGACTTATTCACTATCACAAGAAGAGTATGGGAAAAATCCACCCCCATGATTCAGTTATTTCCGCCTGGCCCTGCCCTTGACACGTGGGGATTATTACAGTTCAAGGTGAGATTTGGGTGGGGACACACCAAACCATATCACAAGATAATGGATTTGACATCTCTACTTCCTGTTGAGTAAATGTGAGTTTCCTCCTATCCTTCCATCCCAGTCCTGGGTTTTTCCATAGACCTACCATCCTCTACAACCTCCTGTGGGGCATGAAGGGGGAAAGGGCATCATCTTTGCCCTACTCCTTAGGAGTGTGATCCTCTGAGCCCTTCTGGTAGAAAAAGCATCCTGGCTTTCTTTCTGGATAAGCTTAAGGTGATCTAGCCTCAGTAACCCAACACCCTACTGGAGAGAAAAAAACTTGTGGTTTAAGAGGCATCAACGGTCTCTTTTTGGAATTTTCCCAGTATACAGTGATGAAACACTTGTGCCCTTGTATTACAGGCCACTTGAAGCACCAACCCTTGACCTGAGCCAGGGTTCAGATAAACTCTGTTCCCCTCACTTCTGAGGCTGCCTCTCTGGATGCTGGACTTGGCCACACTTTTACAAACAGACACAGATTCTATTAAAAACTAGGAAGGGATTATGACTTAAGCATTGGATATGAACACTCAGAAAGATACCACCAAAGCATCTGAAGTTTGGTGATGCCAACCCAAAGAAGCTGTGTGTTCTGACCCATTTGGTGCTGCGTTCCCAACTGGGGCATTTACAGTCACTGAACCAGAAGGAGCCTTCTGGAAGGATCCTTGAACAGGGATGGTCTTGTTCAAGGTTTTTAACATTTATTCTTTCTTCTTTTCCTTTTTTTGAGACAAGATCTCTCTCTGTCACCTAGGCTGGAGTGCAGTGGTATGATCATAGCTTACTGGAGCTTTGATTTCCTAGGTTCAAGTGATCCTCCTGCATTAGCCTCCCAAGTATAGGACAGACACACGCCAGCCCCAGGCTGAGTTATGCTGATTTTTTGTTTTTGTAGAGATGGGGTTCTCTCTGTGTTGCCCAGACTGGTCTTGAACGCCTAGCCTCGAGCAGTCCTATCATCTTGGCCTCCCAAAGTGCTGAGATTACCGGTGCAAGCCAGTGTGCCCAGCTATCACTTATTTTTATTGTCTAAAATTTTTCTTTGTTTAGCATGAAATGCAATACCAGGCAGAACCATAATGGCTATACCCAATCCTAGGGGGCAGGCTCTGGGTGCAGGGAATTGGTCATGGGATGTTCACTGCACCCCCATGCTCTGAGGCGACTTCCTGTGATGTCGTCATCAATCTGTAGGGCTTCCCAGAACATGGTTGGAAAATGTCTGCTTCCATTGAAGACTTTTATTTTATGGGCATGCAGACAAGTCTGTAGGTGTGAATGACCTGAGTCACTTGGCCGTGTAACTGAAGGGCCAGGTCTTCCAACATCTACCCCTGTTGTCATGAATAAGACCAGCCTCTCTTGTGCCTTCCCGTGATGAATATTTTCCATTGTGCACTCTTACCTTGTAGACTGGGAGGCAGCAGCCCCAAACCTGCCTCTCCTTCCTGTCTTTCTTCCTCTTTGTCTTCCATGTTCCCGGTGGTCCCTGGACTCAACCTCATTCTTCTTGGCATTTCCTATACACTTGTGGAGCATTTCTGGCACCCTTGCTAATCACTCTTGTGCAGCAGGAGGGGATGGTTTCCCCTGGTGCTGCCCCTAGTGGCTTGCTGGTAACTCAGTCATAATGGTTTACCAGAAGCCAGCCTCAGTCGTGAATTCCTTCCAAACATCAACTTATTTGATCCCTGCAATGTGCAACAATCTGATCATGATTCCCAGTCTTCAGATGGGAGAAGTGGGGCTCAAAGAGGCAAAAATAGTTTGATCACAGTTTTATAGGGTGGAGGCCTAGATTGAAGCTCAGGTTTATCTTGTTCCCGAGCTTGAGCCCTTCCCCACCAGCATTGAGTGGATGGGTCCAGCGTTGCCCGCCTGTTTTTGAGCTCACATTCTTGTGTGAGGGTGGAGGGCAACTCATTTTTCACAAACCTTTAGAAGTTCTTGAGAGGTTACTGCCTGCAGCCAAGGGGCAGCTAATGGGTGTAATTGATTTATGCTTCTTAAAATGTTTTGCAGAATTTTTAGTAGCTTTTGATGTTGGCGTGTAGTCACTTGGTGGCTGGGGATTAGGTGTTATTTTGAGGGAAAGATGCAGAGATGAGAAGAATGAACACTTTTCCATTAGTCTTCCACACTGGATGCTAAGTTCCATGAGAACATGGACCATGTCTATGATGTTCAGATTACACCCCTCTACTGCCTTGGAGTGTCCAGCCATATGGTAGATGCTCAATATATGCTTTTCTCCCCTAGTAAATAAATGGGATAACTTGAAGAAAGATTTTATGATGTTTATGGATGAAAGAGGGATAAACTATGGAATGGAGAAATTATAATATGGAGGTTAGCAAATCATGGCCACGGGCCAAATCTGGCCCACCATTTGTTTTTATAAATAAAGTTTTATTGGAACACAGCCACATTTGTTTATGTATTGTCTGTGGCTGTGTTTGCATGACAAGGGCAGAGTTGAGTAGTTGCAACAGAGACCGTGTGGCCTTCAAAGCCTGAAATATTTACCATCTGGGCCTTCACAAAAACGTTTGCTGACCGTTGAATTATAATAATGCCAGTTCTACTGAAAGAAATGTGGAAAATACTCATAATAGCACAAAGGCCTGCAGACAGATCTTTGTTGGAATAGGAAGAATAGATTCTGCCAGGGGACCTGCCTGTGTTCCCTCATTGTGCCTTCTATAGCTGGGCTAAAGCTTCTAGAACACTCCTGAAAGCAGATGGGCTCCCTATAAGGAAGCAGTAAGTTCTTTCAGAGGCCTTGGCAGGTGGAGGAGTTCTTGGGGTCAGTAAGTTTGCATCTGGATGACATTAGGACTCTAGCATCTGCCCATAGTTCTTCAAAAGTGGCCTTTGGCCAGAGTGAAGACAGGAATGTCCCTGCCCGCTTTCCCAGCCACCTGGCCCTGAGGGACGGTCTTACCTGTGGAAGAGTGCAAAGGCAGAACCAGGCTGAAAGGAGGTGTTAGCAGCCGTCCTGCTAGAGGAAACAGATGCCACCTCTGGTCCCGGATGTTTGGTGCTCCCTTCTGCCCTGGTAGGCATTTAGATCCAGACCCTGCGTCTCAGAGGGATGGCTGAGCGATAAAGCATTTCCTGAAGTCAGCGTAGATGAAGCACTGGTGAGCTGTTGGGATGTCAAACAGAGCATCTGCCCATAAGGAACTCACCTAGTGAGGTCTAGCTCCTAGCTGGACCATAAGCATGTGAAGCCTGGACCAGGGAGCCCCTGCCTTGGCCAACTTCTCCACCTGCCATACCCGTGGGTGGCTTGTTTGCACTTAGGATCAGGATGAGATCAGGGTTCTTAACTTGCCATAGAGACCCAGCAGAGTCTGTTTTCTTCCTCCCTCTTACTCTCATCTCTCCACGTGCCCCAGTCCCTCTTGGCTTCAGGCACGTGACCTTTCTCTGTTCCTCACGCTGACCACTGACCACACTCCTCCTTGGTTCAGAACATTTGCACATTCTATTCCCTCTAACTGGAACTCCCTTCTCCCTGAGCTCCCCCTGCATGGCCTGTTCCAGTCAGTGGCAGCTCTTCCTTCTATTCTGAATGTCAGTTCCTCCAAGAAGCCTTCCCTGACTGCCAAGACCAGGTTGGCTACCTTGTACACACCAGTGGCGAGTGTCGTTCCTTTTCTCTAGAGCACTTATCTCAGTTTGCCATTAATGTTGGTTGGTGACATTATGTATTAGAAGCTGGCTCTCCCGCTGGACTATGTGCTTCGTGGGTATGAGGGCCACATTTGTTTTTATTCACCATTATACCTCTGGTGTCTCCTGCAGTGCCTGGCATGTGATGAGCACTTGATAAGTATTTGTTGAATGAATGATCAAGTTCCATCTTTGGTCTTGGTTCTGAGAGAGTAGCTGTGGCTGCCTGGAGTGTTATATTGAAAAGAAGAAGAAGAATATCAATTTGCCAAGTGCTTCTGTGTAAATTCTGTGCTATGCATTTTGGGTTGATCTGGGCTGATTAGGAGTGGGTGTTGTATTGATTAGCAGTGTCTGGCTTGGATGAGGGAAGGGTGAGAAAGGCAAGAAGGAGTTGGTTAATGAGCTTTTGGAGAGCACCATCTGATATACCTCACTGACCTCCTAGGACAAACAGACATTTTGCTCTACTCAGGTATTGAAGTTTTTACTGGTCACCTTCACCTCCCAATCTTCCAGCAACATGCACACTTCTGCTATCCTGTAACTCACTTGTTGCCCTGTGTGTACTTTGGAATTGAGTATGCAGTGTGCTGATGAGCACATCCACCCCACGCAGCTGGGCAAGAGAAGGGAGGGGGCTGCTCTGCTTACCTGGGTGCAAAGTTTGATGCTAACGTGGCTCCGCAGGTGAGGCTTGTCATCAAAGAGCAGGCAAGGCCAGGTGTGGTCTGGAATCAGAGGTCATGAGGGCAGGACCCTTCTGTAGAGGTCCTGGTAGCCGGCAGGACTCAGGGGAGCCTGTACCCAGGAATAGCCGTGGAGAAGACCCTGACCAGCAGGTGTGGTTCTGGGAGGGGCTGGGTCAGTTTGTCCCTCTCCTTGAGCCAGAGTATGACGCATGGTAGCCAGAACGGTCCCTAGAGCACCCCACAGGGAGGCCCTATGGCCTGAGCCAGCACAGGGTGATGGGGATACCTGCTGTAAGGGCAGAGTGGCTGGGTGGTCATTGACTCATGGGCACCAGGTTTGGTCTAGTGAACTTTAGAGGAAGTCCAGGGAGCAATGAGGAAGTTGGCAGTTCTAGTTCAATCCTGAATCTGGGAATAAGCCTAAGGCTTTCCGTGTTCATTCTTTCATCTAGCATTGACTGTACCTCTGACAAGCTGTGGGGTTCACAGTCAAAAGAAAGAGCCTCTGCAATCAAGGAGGCTACAGTGTAGTTGGGGAGGTAAATCAATATTTAAAATATAATGCTATTCACATATATTTATCTGTTCATAAAAGGAAACTTTGTAAATACAAAAGAATATAAAGAAGATAGTTAACACTAATCCTGCTCCCTGGAGATAACATTCTTGTTAACATCCCCGCCTCTCTTTTTGCCCAGGTGGGTGTGTATATGCATATTCTACATGGTTGAGATAATTCTGTTAATGGCGTTTCCTATTTTTGTTAACATTTCCTTATCTTTTTTCCTAGGTTCGTGTGTGTATATATATTCCACATGACTGAGCTAATACTCTAATAAACTTTTATATCAAGATATATCAGTTATGGACTTAGTGGCTTAAAGCAATAACAACTGATTATTTCTTAGGCTTCTGTGGGTGAGCGCTGTTGATTTCATCTGGGCTCACTCATGCGGCTGGGATGGAAAGTCCAAGATGGCCTCACACACGTTTCTGGTGTTCAGTGCTGGCTGTTGGCTGTGGCATTTTGTGTCTACTCATCCTCCAGTAGGCCAGACTGGCTTCCTAATATTGTGGCCTTACCTGTCCACAAGGTCTTACTCTGTCACCCCGGCTGGAATGCAGTGGTGTGATCATAGCCCACTGCAGCCTTGCCTTCCTGGGCTCAAGCGATCTTCTAGCCTCAGCCTCCCGAATAGCTGGGAGTACAAGCATGAGCCACCACACCCAGCTCATTTTTAATTTTTTTGTAGAGATGAGGTGTCACTATGTTGCCCAGGCTGGTCTCAAACTCCTGGCCTCAAACAATCCTCCTGCCTTGGTTTCCCAGAGTGCTGGATTATAGACGTGAGCCCCTGTGTTCAGCCCTGTCTGCTTTTCCTAATGGCATTTCTGAGATCTTTATATATTTCTTGATTATTTTTACAATTTTAGTTTGTGCCAGTTAATTTTTTTCTATTTTATGCACTTTTTTATTTCTTCTAAAAATGGGATATATGTGCAGATACATTTGCTTTTCTGAGCAAAATATTATCTTGAACATGGGATATCTTTCAACGAAAAATGAGATGGCTGTCTACCTCTGTCTTGTTTTCTTGTGAGTTTTTATAGTTGTGTGTGTGTGTGTTTTTAGGCCTTCTGACTCTTGGAACCTCTTGGAATTTTCAAAAACAACCCAAACTCTGATTCCTCTATTGTGAAATGGGGGTTTGTTTCTCACTCCACGTTCCTGTATAATTGTCCCAATCCCACTGATGCAATAATTCTGCTATTTGGCACTGATATTTGATGCTACTTTGTTTCAGATTTTATCTCCTAGTATATGCAGGGATGTTTTCAGGCTTGCTTTCTTGCTCGGTTGATTTATTTTTCCTGTCCTAATGCTATACTCACAAGGATAGCGGCTGTATATTCTATTTTAGTATGTTATTGTGGAAGTGCCTTCTCATTATTTTTCTTTTTTAAAAATCTCTCGGCTGTTTTTGTGTAATTCTCCCGGAGGTACTTGAGAACCATTTTGTAAAGTTCTGAAAATGAACTCATTGGGACTTTGATTGCAACTGCATTACATTTATCGATCAGTTTGTTGCAAACCAACAGCTTTAATGTATGAAGAATTCCCCCATCCAGAAACATGGTGCATACAGCTCCATTCATTTCAACCCTTTAAAATATCTCAGTAGAATTTTGTGCTTTATCTTCTTGTAGTTTTCCAGTATTTCTCATGAAAGTTAACATTTGCAATTCAGTGTTTTTTTGGTTGTTTTTTGGAATGTGCTCATTTTTCCCCATGATATGTTCCGGTTGGTCATTTTTAAATATAGGAATTGAATTAATTTAAAAAAAGTTTTATTTTTATTTTTATTTATTTATTTATTTTTTGAGACAGAGTCTCGCTCTGTCGCCCAGGCTGGAGTGCAGTGGCCAGATCGCAGCTCACTGCAAGCTCCGCCTTCCGGGTTTACGCCATTCTCCTGCCTCAGCCTCCCGAGTAGCTGGGACTACAGGCACCCGCCACCTCACCTGGCTAGTTTTTTGTATTTTTTAGTAGAGACGGAGTTTCACCGTGTTAGCCAGGATGGTCTCGATCTCCTGACCTCGTGATCCACCCGTCTCGGCCTCCCAAAGTGCTGGGATTACAGGCTTGAGCCACCGCGCCGGCCAAAAAATATTTTTATTGATTTAAAAATGGTATAGATACTATGTAAATAATGTTCATTGAAAAAAAACTTTACAGAAGAATTGGGATGGAAATGAAAGACTTTCTTTGTGGCCTCTTCCCCTGCTTCCACTCCCTGCCTTAGAGCAAACCATTGTTAATAATTAGGCAATAGCCGTAGAAGATTGACAGAGAATTATTCCAGACCTTTATATATTTGCATCTGCATATTTGGGCATACATGGGATCACAGTGTACATTAAGACATATAGCTCTGTCTGGATCGATGTCACTGTTCTACTTTGACAGGGTCCCTGTTTATTGCTCTTTTCCCTTTAGAATTGGTTATATGAAGGTGGATACTCGAAAGTCAAATGGCTGGTTCAAGGGTTTGTGCAGATTTTTTCCCAGTGGCTTAACACCGCAGGGGTTTATTTCTCACTCATGCTCCCTGTCCCACAGTGTTTGGTGGGATGTTCTGCCCACGAGTCCCTCAGAGACCCAGGCTGCTGCTGAAGGCTTCACTGTTTCTTAGCTGCACCGCGTTGCACCTGGTGGCCTCTCTGTTGCTGTGGCAGGGAAGAGAAAAAATAGGAAATTAAACCTTTCTGTTCAGAGGTGACACATTTATTCTGTTTACTGACTACTGTCGAGAGAAAGCATGATGTGACCCTATGTACTGTGTGTGGGAGGAGGAGAGAAGGGTGTACATTTTGATTTGCATAGATATCTGTTAAATTACCTTCCCTAAAGGGTATATCCATTTACATGTGCTAAGAACATATGTAGCTATTCGTATCCCCACATCCTTGCCAACATAGGATATTAGCAACCTTTTAAATTTTTGCCAATCTTTCTCACTGTTTTAATTTTCATTTCCCTGATTAGCGATGAGCTTGATCCTCTTTTTAATATGTTGATATCCATTTTTATTTACTTGAATTTCTGTTTCTTACTCTGCTTCTTTGCCCGTTTTTACTTCTTTTTCTTAATTGACTTTGAAGTTCTTTATATATTATGGATGTTACTCTTTTGCTGCAAATGTGAATATTTTCTCAGTTTATTGTTTGTCATTTAATTTTATTTTTGATGTCTTTTATGAAATGAAAAATTT